TAGGAAGCTTATCTGTGTTGCTCTTAAACAAACACTAAACTTTTCTCTTTACACATTAACCTATCACTTGAGCTAAAACATGACTGAACGCGTCTCAAACAAGACTCTCGTTGTTTCTATTCCACCATTGTTGTTAGCGCATTTTCTCATTGATGGAAAAAAAGGCTCTATTGTGCTCGTCATGTCCGTCTGTCTGTCTGTCCGTGACTTAACGTTTTCGTCGACGAGAAAATGCGCTCTCTGTCACTCACTGCAGTGAGTACTGAGTTATATTTTTTGTATATAGATGCAGTGAATTTTTACGTACGTACAGTACGGTATATGAATCCGGTAACCGTTTTGTTCCGTTTAGATCGCCTAAACAGCACGACTGCGAAATTTATTATTTATAAAGGAAATTTCTATAGCATTGACTTTGCTTCATTGCGCTTGATTGGAAGGTAGACATTTTTTATTTTGAAATGTACCAGCATGATCACGTGCAGTGTGGAATTCTGAAGGGAACTTTTTGGCAGACATGATATTAGTTCGACAATGGTCAAAGATTTCCTCCCATGAAGTTGCTCGGTAGTTCGTAATTGCCCGTTTCACTGTAAAAAGCATCTAGTGTTATTTACGTACCTACATTCTAACTTCTTTCTAAAATATAGTCCGTCTGGTCGTACTGGCTTTGTTCGAAAATATTATTTGTACAGGTACATATATTCTACTCAAGAATTCCACCTTGCTGACGGTTGAGTCTAAGTATACATGCACAGTGATTTGTTGCACACTTGTGCACTTTTATCTCACGTTTTTTTCATGTTGCCAATTTGAGTTGCAGCAATGGCTCTGTCCGTTTCTTTTAGTCATACCTTCAGTAAAATTTTTTGTTTGCAAGAATTGAACCGCTCTAATTTTTTTTATTACTCATCACAAATCATTTTCTCATAAAATGTGTATTATACCCTCTAGTCATTCCATGAGTTATATCTCCAACGCGTTAACCTTCTATTGTAAACAGAAGATAATAAGTATCATGTGTGCATATATGTATATGCAACTAAATTGTATTGATTACTAAAAAATATATTGGGATAGCTTAATTTATCTGCATTAGTGAGTGTATGATCCTGACATGCGTCGAATTAACGGACGTATACGCTGATCGATCGCACAGCGACAAAGCTTTGATATGCGCGGCACCTTACTTGTAAAGCCTGCTGATACGGGGAGATAACGAAATTATATTAGTATTCGTGATCTCAGTTGACATAGATAAGAGTTTATTATGGATATCTGCAAGATTATAAATAAACTTGATTTATTCTCTTTCAATTTAATTAACTTAAAGAATTGCGTCTTAAAAGAACCCGACCTCGAAAACATGTTGTGTTTGTAGAAGAACAATATTGCGGTTTGCTGATGTATAAGCTTATAATTCACGTAATCCAAATCATTTGATTCGCCTAATCCTATCAAACTTTAATAAATTCCACTAATTGTGGAGCATGTATGAGCTTATTGGAAACCAGATAATGTACAAATCCATTTTGAACGCTGCTATCAAGAGTCTGAGCTAGATTATAAACAATAAAAATAATTGCATGGAATCAAAGGATTACTGAGCTTCAGTTCATTTATTTGTTCGAGCGTTGATTAACTCTGCTAATAATCTTTATATGCTCCTCTTCCCTGGAAGCCTATGACTTATAAACATTCAGCTCTTCATTGCAGTCTATCAATTGTTATTACAAGAACGTATCGCCGTTCAGCTTTATCCCTTTATTAAGCTCACAATTAGAAGAAGGACCGTGTAATTAAAATCTCATAATTTAATTGAGAACAATTTATGTTATCAGAGTCAGACAGTCTTGAAGTTATACGCTACTGGCCGTGACCTGAAATTTTTAAGAGCATTGTTAGGGAAGAGCAGAAATCTTTTTTATATTTATAATTGAATCTTTGCATTGAAACCAATTAAAGACGGTGCATCCGCGGTTTTGCAATACTTATATTTGTTTCGCAAGTTTCTTTGCGGATCTTATAGTCTTAAATATAATACAAATCGGAATTTGATGCGGTTGATGCATCAATTTATTGAGACATTTTTGAACGCTTTATGTAAGTACTAATGTCACTATTTTGATTAATAGTCAGCCAAAAATTAATATGATTAGGAAGAACTGTGAGCTACCTAAAACGAGGTTTCCGTTTTAGAAAATTACGGCAATTGCCAAACCTGAAATATGAAGCACTAGAAGTGTAAATTAAAATCTATATTTTGCTATATTCTAAATTAAAATTTATATATTCGGCGCGCAGCCGCGCCCAACAAAATGGGGTGGGTCGGCCAGCAGAATTTTAGAACGGTAACTCCTGCCGTTTATTCTATGTTTTTGAAGCGAAATGTTTTAAACTGTTTTTTAATGAAGATAGGGCGAATTTTTGGTGCTCAATTTTGATTCTAAATAAATGGTAGTCTACATTAAACATTAACGAAGTTAAATCTGGATATCGTAATTCCGTGGCAGGCATGTCAAATGAGATACCGCATTAAAATCAATGCTATGTTGGTGTCTTTGGGAGACACCGTTTAGTTAAGGCTTGTGATGTTAAGTAATTCCGCGAAGAAAAATTATGATCGATGATGTGAAGCAGATTTAAAAAAATACATCTTAATGATAAGTTAAAACTGGTAAAAAGATACCTCAAAATGCGCACAACAAAGAAACTTTATTTATATCAAAACATACACGCAAAAATAAATCGATAGTAGTAGGTATATATAGTAGATAGATAGATAATTAATTTTCCCTTGCAAATCAAAACACTTTACGGTTATTGCACCGAAATAGCTTTTCCCCTTCATTCGATAATTAAAAAGACGATTTCGTGTAACTCGTAATTTTTTCGGCTGAGTCATATTATATTTATTTGTATTACTAGGTAATGGATTAGCTCAGGTTTGATTGCGTTATTACTATATTGTAACAACGAGCGAACGATCCGCGGTGCATGGCGATGCCGCGATAAGAACGATGATTCATGCAGATTCTGTTCGTTTTTGAACGCCACGGCGTTGGCAGTTCTGTGAGTTCTCAGCGTTCAGTTGAGGTTTTCAGTGCACTCTGAAACGTATATATTGAGTCTCGCCCTCCGGTATAACTCAGTAACTGATAAGCCTGGTTTGTGGAATGGTCCCTCCTGATACTCTTCCTCATTGATATTCAAGTTCCGGCACTAAGGGCATTCACTGTCAAGTTAAACACGCAGAAATACCGCTTTATTCCAGTTTTCTTCTGTACTGCGGACATTAACACACTTAGCATTATCATGGCCCTGAGTTACCTGCTCTGATTGCATTTGCATAATTTATTTTGCTGATGGATCTTCAGGTAATAAGGGCTAATTAAAAGTTCATGTGAGACGTTGATTATTATTTAATGGTTTGAAGCTTATTAATTGTTGCTTTGGTTTATTATGTTGTCCATGGTATCTGAGTTTCACTAATGTCTTACCAGATTATTTTTACTGAAGATGCACGCGTGAAAGGAACGGTGCGCTAACGTTATACTGCCTTTAATTCTCTCCTGAACTGCCTGACTCGAAAATTAATGAATTGAACTCTGAATTAAAATAATATCGGCCTACGAACGAGAATAAAGTTTATGCCAATAAGTTATTCAGTTCATTCACGTACCGAATTACTGACTGATGTGTTCTGCTTTGAAGGGAGCAAAATTAGTTGCGCGTTTTGTAGTTTAAATTTTAATGCGGCTTGAGAGGACAATTTCATGGACTGATTCGAAGCAAGTTTGTAGGCATCGTTTTTTCTCGTAACGAGTAAGCTTCAAGTTGGGATTAATGGAATCCATCTTCACAATATTAATGAGGAAGCCTGCTATTCTTAAATTTATTACTATGTTAGCTTTGTTTTTGTTCTAAGTTGCGATTAAAATTAAATTGTGCACAAAAAGCATAACACAACGTTATCTGCACGCGCTGATCACCGAGGCGTAATTAATGAGACGACGTAACTTTTCTACGAACATGTTTATGTATGTGCGCTCGTCTATACCTTATCATAATTAGGTTAGTCTTATAGATATTACTTCTAAGTAAAGTGGAGCAGCTATGCGTGTATCGTTAAGACTGTATATATTTGTGTATTCATACGGTAAGGGTTGCGCATATTCCAATCTATATGAATATGAATTGAATTTTTTTTCTTAAATTAAACGGTCATTAAAGTATCATCATCATGGTTGGCAGAAGAACTGCACAAAGAGGGCTCGCTGAATTTAATATTTCATATATTCAGATGCATAATTTTAACTCTGTTTACTACATTGATAATAATATGAGACTTTTAGAAGTGACTTTTATATCCTCTAGATTTGGTTATTTTTAACAATGTATTTAACAATGCAATATTTAAAAATAGATTGGATTCTTAAGCCAATAATGACTCGTTTCATTTTGAAACTTTCGTACAGGAATAAATGAAATAATTAAATATTTTATAGGTTTTCTCCTATAAGAAAACCGTTTCGAATGAAACTAATTGTGACTTTAAATGTAAGATGTGTGTAAAACCATAAAGAAGCATTTTTCAGAGACAAATTTCGTGCGCAATGAACATAATAATTAACTCTTTTCTTTTTCTTTCTTTTCAGATGAATTGAAGTCGTCATATTCATCAACAGGAATCAACAACACAGGACCGAATGCGAAGAAAATTCGGTAACGAGATATTCATTCTTATGAGTCCAGAACGTTGAACCGAAGTTCACCTGACGAACCGAAGGAACCTGGTTCGCATGCACAAGAAAAGGATTGTCCAGCCAGATTCTGACTGAACCACTTTGAATTAAGGAGTGCATATAAACCGAAAAAGTAAAGTTTCATGGCATTTCTCAACTCTAGACTTTTTGAGAAAATTTTGAGTACAAATTTTCCTAAAAGTTTTTATTGTAATTGATTCGGATTTTGCTTCCGGGCTTTACAAAATTCTGCGAGATCTTTTAGAAATTCTGTTTTGGCGTTGATTGTGCGAACTATCCCATCTGACTTTTCGGCTTGCCTCAAATTTTATTTTCTTTCTTGTGCAAACTGACTGCCTTTCTTCTGCAGCAACTCACTGAAAATTTGGCCTTTGCCTTTCGATCGGCTTCCTTGTTGTCAAGTCTTCGTCGTTGTTATGCGATACCTTGAGACTCTTTTTGCACGTCATCTCGACGCATGAAAGCTTTTGATTTTATGCTGTCATTGGCAATATGTGAGCGACATCAATCTGTACCGGGCATATAATACACCTCAGTGCCAAACTTGCAAGAGCCCTGACCTCTACGTGTAAGGATACCAGTGACCACAAGTCCGTACTGCGCTCTCAATGTGGTCAATGTGATAGTAAATTGCCCCGCCTAACGTGGTAGATTATTAACCAATACCATGCAAAAGCTTCCATGAAGCTGGTTGCATGCAGTGACGAGATCGCCTGTGTCGCGTCTCTTCATAAGTTTCTTCACTGATCCCACGAAGATAATAGCTCCATTTAATTACATGCTCTCCTCATGATGCTCGGCTCCTTGCTTCTGGCCTTATGAGATCGCTTCTCGTGATTAATGATGGCTAAAGTTACGGAAAATTGACCAGTTTTGTTGCAGTAAAAGTGAGTGATGGTCGAGATAAGTTCTTTGCATGCTTGGTCCTTTGAATGAAGAGAGTGACACGATCGAAAGGGCAAGTGAGAAGTTTGTGGACTGAAAACTGAGGCACGCGTTCATGAACTCTAGAAAATTCATGAACTTTCTTTTCACGAAAGTTCAAATAATATAAATCTAATTTCTTAATGTATTCTCAAGGTTAATTTCCTGATTTCTATTTCTTTGCAGATTTCAGAGGTTGTAAAAAATTGGTTCTTTCACAATTTATTTTTTTAGTTAACTTGATGAAAAATAGTCGTTTGGTGCTGGAGTTCCCTAGGTTATGGGCTCAGTCGCATGACTGTTTTTCTACTTATATTCTACCGGACATAAATTCCCAGCCATGGGCACCATGCAAGCTTGCGTCGTTTGCTCCTCCAGCGAAGATGTCAACAAAGACATGTGAGTTTATTTCTCTTCGTGTTTACATTTATTAATGAAAATCACGTTTTCTAGTAATTCCATAAATAATTTAATTATGTTTACACTTATTTTCGTATAGTGCAATATTCTCGCTGTGTTTCTAACTTCGTCGGGTCTAACTTTGTTTCATTGTAAATTTCTGTCTGAGGCATTGTTAAACTTTTTTTCACCTCTTGAGAATTATTCAGCACTATAGAGATTTAGCCCTTTTTGGTTCTAGCATGTGAGCAATGGCTACAAATTTCCACGCCTAGAGCTTTCAAACATGTTAAACACAAAATAAGCCATGCACCCCAGCCCTGATTGCGTAATTAATGTTATCACATTGAAATGTGATCGCTCGATCAAAGTAGAATGCAGAAATTACAGTTGTATGCCTGTTATCTCTTATCGCTGCCAGATTATGACAGTTGTTCTTTTCGACCGTTCTTAAGATTCAGTGGTTAAGTCATGCGTTACTCTAACAATGATATTTGCATAGGTTTATCTATTTGTTCCATCCGTATTTCGAGAGCAGACGTGCTGTATATATTGAGGAAACCATTCACTGTGATTATTCAACATTACAGTCATCTTCACTGAATTATTCAACATTACAGCCATCTTCACGGAATTATTCAACATTACAGCCATCATCACCGAATTATTCAACATTACAGCCATCTTCACGGAATTTCAACATTACAGCCACTGTCTCTTATACACATCTAGATGTGTATAAGAGACCATCTTCACGGAATTATTCAACATTACAGCCATCATCACCGAATTATTCAACATTACAGCCATCTTCACGGAATTATTCAACATTACAGCCATCTTCACCGAATTATTCAACATTACAGCCATCTTCACCGAATTATTCAACATTACAGCCATCGGCACCGAATTATTCAACATTACAGCCACCGTCTCCTTGTGAATCAAGTCACGAAAAATTCAAGAATTGGCAACAGGCCATGGGCCTATTTCTTCAGTGCCGACACTTCTATTCTATACTATCATTGCACTGAATTATTCAACATTACAGCCATAGTCACCAAATTATTCAACATTACAGCCATCGTCACCGAATTATTCAACATTACAGCCATCGGCACGGAACTCCTATACTCGTGCAGGTTTAGTCAGTTGTTCGAGAGCGAGCGAGGAGCGGACATCACGCTACTGGTGGGGTCGGAGAACGCCATGGAGCGCATACCCGCCCACTCGTGGGTGCTCAGTCACAGCAACGACTACTTCAGGAGCTTACTCGTGGGACCCCTTCGCAACCCTTCCCAGAACACCTTCACTATTCCTGATGTCCATCCATCACATTTTATTAACCTCATCAGGTGAGAATAGTTTTATAGTTTACCCTTCCTAAACACCTTCACTATTGATGTTAATCCATCACATTTTATTAACCTCATCGGGTGAGAATAGTTTTATGCGGACTAAGTTTAACCCTGATGGAGCTTTGGTATCTGATTGTGTCAACATAAAATAATCAATACTACGTAAGCAGTTAACAATGTATTTGCTAAGAGATAAGATATAATTAATTTATAGACCAAAAATGCAATGTTTCTGATATTTTAATGCATTCAAGTATCGGCAGGATTGGCATTGTTCGGATATTGATTGTATTGGCGGTCTGATAAACGCTGCTCAGTGAAGCTCTTTGAAATAATCGCAATAACCCTGTATACCGACCATTGATTGTTATCGTTATAGAATTTATGAGCCTTCAGTTCCGTCCGATATCTTAATTTTAAATTCTGCGGTCATAGGCACCTTTATGTGCGTCAGGTTATTGTTACTTTCTATGGTATTATTTGTAGTTGCATTAAAAAATTTTATTGCTCTTTATCATTGGTCGCCTAGGGTTATTTAGATTTTTAATTTCATTTCTGGATTACTTTATTAATATATTGATACACTTAATGACGTCTATTGTCTTCACTAAAGAGCACGAAACAAAGAATAGTCTCTTTTATTTTGTCACTTTTTGAATTTCTAAATAAAAGTACTGAAATATTTAAAAAGATACTCGTCGTCGGCATCCGTCCGTCTCGAGAGACGATGGGTTAGCTATCGGTCCCGCCTGCATCGCCGAGAGTGGCTCTGCAGAACGATCCTGGAGTGACAATCCAATCCACAGCCATCACAGGTGAAGGCAGATGGCTGTCGCTGCTGCGTCGCCCGCTGTTTCCGTCTGAATCTCCTCTGAGAGTCGCCATCGCGGCGCTCGACCTCAGCGCAGGACACGGCCTGCCCGACAGCGAGTCTCCAACCCTGGCGGTCAGCTGCTTGGGTCTCCCACGAGGATGGGTCGATGCGGCACCGTTTCAAATCCTTCATGCAGATGTCCTTGAGGCGTAGTTTCGGGCGTCCCGTTTTCCGTCGGCCTTCCACGAGCTCGCCATAGAGGAGGTCTTTGGGTATGCGGCCCGCTCCCATCCTACTGAAATGCTCCAGCCACTTGAGACGTCTCTCGCTGAGAACTGAGAGCAGACTGATCATATTTGATCGCTCTAGTACCACAGAATTGGGAACTCTGTCCTGCTACTTGATCTGCAGTATGCGCCGGAGACACCTCATGTGGAAGCCGTCGAGTTTCCTTTCGTGCCCCGCATAGGTGGTCCATGTCTCGCAACCGTACAGGAGAGTGCCGAGGACGCAAGCCTTGTAGACGCACAGTTTAGTCTTCACGGTCAGGCTCGAGTTGTTCCAAACTCGCTGGGTTAATTTGGCCATGACTGGACTGTGGCGGCCCTAGCAATCCTGCTGTTTATCTCGGAGTCGATGGACAGTGAACTGGAGATACTGGACCCGAGATAGGTAAAGTTCTCGACGACCTCCAGGGTGTAACCATCCAGAACAATGCTCGGGGGAGTCCCAGTGCCCTGGGACAATACCTTGGTCTTTCCCAGGCTGATGGTCAGGCCAAACTCTTTACAGGCATAAGCAAAGCGGGTGATAAGCTGCTGGAGTCCTCCCTCGGTATGCGATGCCAATGCCGCATCGTCGGCGAAGAGCATCTCGCGGATTAGGACCCTGTTGACCTTGGTTTTGGCCCGAAGACGGGCTATATTGAAGAGCTTGCCGTCGTGTCTGGTGTGTATGAAAACGCCTTCGTTACAGTCCGCGAAGGCGTACCGAAGAAGCATGGAGAAGAAGATACCAAAAAGCGTGGGCGCGAGCACGCAGCCCTGCTTCATTCCGCTGCTGACTGGAAAAACTTCTGAGGTCACACCGTTGAAGCAAACCGTGCCGTGCATATTTTCGAGGAAGGACTGAACCGATATGAAATGAACCGATAATCGTATCGTCCATACGTTATAATTTTATGATTTCCATTCAATGAACAGCATTTAAGTTCACAATGTTCTGTCTTCATGTTCTCATTATAAAAAAAAATAAAGTTAATATATAAAAAAGTTAATAACCTCGTTTCTTTTCAGGTGGTTATACGGATGTGGATGTGTTGCGGAAGGCACCCAGTCTGCCCTGGGGACGCTGAAGGTGGCCATCGAGTTCCTGTGTCCGGAACTGGTGCTCCACATCGTCGACCACCTCTCCAGGAAACTCAAGCCTTCCAACGTGCTCCAGATCCTCGCTTGGGCAGACCTCTACGCCCCTAACACCCTTCCCTCTGCACCTCCTCTCTGTAACGATCCTCGTGACAACATCCAAGGTGATTGTCAACGCCTTTATCCGTCCCTTAACCCTCCATCAAAAGCATTTCACGTCTCCATGTCTGAACCACATCATCTCGGACATCAATGTAAGCCCTCACTACACCGCTTGAAATCCGCTCCTGGTCGCATTATTGTAGCCGACCCAACCGAAGCGTGCGCGATCCTTGTTCGCAATTGCTGGTCTCATATTAACGCCCATGCCGTCGAGGTTTTATCCTCGGAGAATCTTGAGTCAATTCCGCACTCGCTTCTCCTCAAAGTCCTGAGAAGCGACTCGCTCGTCGTCCCCGACGAGTCGTTGATCCTGGATGCGATGTTTCGTTGGTCGAGTGCGCAATGCCGCAGGGAACACCAGCCGATGACGCTCACGGGACGTCGGCAAGTTTTGGCTGACATCCTCACCACCCCAAGACTACTGACCCTATCCGCGCAACAGGTGCATCTGATGGAGAAATTCTACACCAGCGAAGAAATTGAGTTTGTCAAACAGAAAATCAAGAAGAAAAGCTCGTGTCCGAATGTCCCCAGCTTGTTCCACGATGTCGTCAACGAAATGGCCCGACCTCGCAATCAAGTCAACAACGGTTCTCACGGAGCCCCTGATGGCAGAAGACAGAAAAATACAAAGAAGGACTTTATCATGAATTTTGTTTCAATCATCGCACTCGCCATCGACTGACGGAGGACACCGTCCATGTTCGATTCTTGTTGCCATCGATTGGGAGTTTTGCCATGGAATATTGACTGGAGTCTTCATCCTGTGATCTTAGCTTTTAGTTAAATTTACTATAAGAGGAGCTTTGTCTTATTTTAAATTTTTGTTGATCTCATTATTGTGAAGTATTTAAGTTCCTTCTTCTGAGTACTCTCACCCCAGAAGGCCAGTGTTCCCACTATGAACAACTTTTATCTCTTCTTTTTGACTGCATTTTTGATAATTCTTATTTACTTGTCATTATCTCTCACCATTGCCTTGATAGATCACCATTGTTCACTATATAGTCCACTGTTAACTACTATCCATTGTGAACTACTGTTTGTCACATTCAATAATAACCCACAAGTGTGTTCCTTATTCGATAACTCTCATAAGTCCCTTATCATGCCCGAATTTTCTTATTGCATTTTTTAGTAACCAGAAAACACTCATTTGATTTAGCGGAGCTCTTGCCTGTAGTGGCCCTAACATTAACTTGTAGCTCGCATCACTTTCGCAAGTGCAGTGGAAAAATACGAAATTTTATCTGTAGAAACATTACGCCTTATCTTGCCTTTTAGGATTAAACACGTAGCATTTAAGCTCATCTAAATATTTGACGATTTATTTGATTGCTAATATATGTTTATTCTTTCCAAGAATTTAAAAGCAAATGAAGGCCAAGCAAATTCACTCTATTTCTGTTGCAACTTTTTACGAGACCAGCGCCATCATCAGATCAAAACTCCAGGAATACAAACGTCATTATTGGAATAACTTAATTTACAATGAAGTCATGAACATGAAAACTTATTGTTGAATTGTTAGTAGAAAGATTTTAATGTTATTTACTCCGTAATCTGGCTCTTAAATTCTTGGTTGATTTGCGATTTCAGCAATCAAATGATACAAATATGTATACGTTTTCAATTGCAAGTTATCCATTGACGATTGGTTTTGAACTAACAAATTTCTATTGAAATTGATAAGTTGTGATTTGAGACTATCTAAAATGATTGTTGTAGCTGTAAGCATACATTGGAGGCAATTTTATTCTTATGTAAATTTATGGAAATTTATGTTTCGATTTTCTGTTATTTACATACCTGATAAGGTATGTAATAAAAAGGCCGACCATATACGATTCGTCGCAGCTTTACGAATTTACGACTGATTCACACTGTTGAACAATTCAGGAATCGTCTGAGAAAATTTTTCTCACGAATGACCGTTCTCAAAAATTGGTAGTAAAGCTGCGAATGGAGTTACTGATAAATTTATTTAATCCGTTATATGTAAACAGGAAGCTCTTGATTTAGTTTCAATCTTTCAAGTACTTTCGAATTTCTCTAAGTCTTTAGCAACACATCTTGATACATTCCACTGATTTGTGACGAAATATCAATTGTATAATATTTATTGTGTTTATGTGGATGCTCTAATACTCAGTCATGCAACTGCCTTGCCATCGTCTCGTTGCTGCTAGCCGGGATCGGCTGCCATATTTAGATTGCTCATAAACTAAAGGAAGTAGTACGATTGCTTAGGAGAGGACGAAACTAATAAGTCTGTCTTAGTTAGCTCAGTTGTTGGACATAGGAACTAAATATCAACTAATTCATGAAAACTCGTTCAAATTTTTCAAGTATAAAACCGTCCTCACGCGTGTCCAACAAGTTCAGTTATCGGATCGTTACGTTCGACCAGCGAATCAAATGGAAAATTTGTCGCGTTAAGGAGCGTATAAAAGCATTTATGGTTATGATTGTCGTGAGGTCTAAACGTTAAAATTAAAGAAATTGTGAATGGTAATATTTTCTACCTATTATCCCATGCCTCAAATTTGATTAGTTTTTGTTATAAGATATCTTACTTGTGATGTGCCTTTGTATTACATATTCACTTTGAGCGTGTAATTTTCTTCATTTTCCTCTCACTTATTTTAGTACCTATGACAGTTAGTTTAACTTTGAGCTAATAGAAGAAAGTATATAAATGGTATGGCCGAACACATTTTACACACAATGGACGACTCCGTACAGTGGAGAAGGCTTAAAGATGCACCTCATCAGTTGGTTTTTAACGCAATATTTTGTCATAAACATTAAGCTCCCTCAGCGCTACTGGGACTTAGCGTATGATACATATAAATACGATATGATATCAAGGGTTAGGTTGGAATGTATGTAACATATAGTCTGGTCGTAGGTACTAAAGGTGGATTAACTGTGGATAATAAACTGAACTTAACTTAACGAATCTAAACATTACATGGATGAATATTTAATGGATTGTTTTACATCCGTTTACAAAAATACTACAGACGGAACCAGTACGACGGTTAACGTGGTAAGGGTTATATAGAGCATTGAAGAATTGCATGAATTTTTTTCATTCAAGTTCGACGTCACTGACCTATTAACAATAACGCAAGAATTAGTCTTGAGTAATCATTTTGATTTTTCAATCAATCGCAATTTTTCACTTGTACGCTTCACGTAATCTTTCTGTTTAGACTTTAGACCTTCAGTCATCCGACCGAAGTTTACCTGGACATAAATTGTCATTCGTAGTCAAACCTCTTTAGTGGCGAAATACTTCGGTGAGTTAAGTCCTGCAATTTATTAGTCTTTCATTACGGTATTGATTCTGATATGATACATTTTTTTGGTTAACTTGGATATAATTTTGCTTATATTTGTTTATCTTATGTATTAAGATAGTTAATATTTCTGATGTCATTCTTACAGAAATTACGTTTTCAAGATTGCCCAATAAAACTCCTTGAAACCTGAGTATCTAAATTTCGCCTAAGCCACTAGGGCTTAACAGAGAATATGTCCCCTCAAATCCAAAAATGGTAACAATTAGAATTTTGGCAGCATAAGTAGTAGTAGTAGTAGTATTATAATGGTTTGCTAGCGCTTCAGCTATCAAGCTGTTTCGCACCGATGGTCAAAGTATAACGTCACCAGCGAGGCGGAAGGTCTCAATTATTTAATATCACAAATTGTTCATCACCCACAAAGGGCAGAAGGTCTCAGATGTCCAGCCCGCTGAAGCTGGCTCGAAGGAAGCAGCGTTAGCATCTCAAAGAGACGAAGTGACAAGGAGGGACAGGTGAAAAGCAACAGAAACGAAGACACTCGAACAAGAGGTCGCTTACACGGGACGTCGGCCGCCCGCGCGAGAGAGACAGAGAAGTGAAATGTAAGGAATCCTACCTACATAATAACTTAATGTAAGGAATCCTCCCTTCATAATAACTTAACCCCACAACTGAGACCTGCAGTCAGACACCGCGAGCTCTGCGGTGGGGCGCTCAAGAACAATCCCCATAGGAGCGCGAAATCCCATAGGACTTTTGACGAGCACAGACACACGTCATAAGTCCCCCCTGAGGGGGTGACAGCATAATTACCGCATTAACTTTAAGCATCATTTACGCGGAAGTTTTATAATACCAGGACAGTTAAACCTATTACAGTTTTTTATTCATGTTTTGTCCACTTAAATGTTTGTCTGACATGTTTTTACGGGTGAAAATTTTATAAATTATAAATGCTAAAGCATTAGCTACTTTTCTCATAAGTATGAAAAGGAAGCTCCATTAAAATTATGAATATTCCATGCCTCTGCTACCGACGTCTGCATGGCGACTTCATAGCAGTATACAAGTATATTGTATACTCATGGTTTATACAAGGTGGCATGATTGCATCGTCGACGCTTCGAGTATGAACGTGTTCAAGAGCAGACAAGAGAATGTTGTGGAGAAATATATGTTCAGACTTGAATATATTGAACTAGCACCATATTGAACCTGATGGAAGTCTAGTAGCTATTTAAAACTAATGTCAGTTAAAATGAAGATCGTAGTTCACGGCACTTCATCTCTATAAGGCCGGGGTTGTCATGTATTGGTCAATGCAAGCAGGGATCTCATGATCTACGCTGACGGCCTCTCAAGCTGAAAAGCTGAACCAATTAATTGAAGACGAGAAATTGGCCGCTACGTGTACTGTACTTAGGTTGCTACGTGTTCCCTCACGTCTTGAAAAGCTGGTCGAAGGAACTGTTTTTAGATATCCTGCGAACAAGTCACGGAAAGTGTTCGGAGAAGTGTCGATTCGATCACATCAGGCTTATTCTTCAGCGCCGAAATCCCTATTGTATGATAAGTTAACATCTTATTCGAATAAATATATTAAATTACTTAAGCACAAGTGCAAGAATATTTTAATTGCATGCACAGTATCATGACAAATTATAAGGCAATTATATATCAGGCCCATGGCGAGTGATTCATTTTCGTAGGCAAGCAGAAAAAAGGTTTCAATCCTCGCGAGTAGATGTCGCTCCTGAAATTCTTGACACGGTTAAAAATCGAAATTGCTAGTCTTCGTTTGCTTGATGCTGTGGATGTTGACGTTTGCGCAGCCGTGAGTCAGTTACTCATATACAGTGTGTGAGTGTTGATGTGTGTCGCTCCGCTCTTTGCTGATTATGACTTCATTCATGAATAATAGTAGTGGTTTGTGATGTGCCAGGTTCTAGGAATATATTTTTCAGCAGCTTTGTGGTGCGGATAACAGTTCTACTTACGGTAAGCGAAACAATCTGACCATGTTTACCTGAAGAAAGTTTAGTTCTTTCCGACAGAGTGAAGTCACGAACTGGCACCCATCTTTTCCATATGTCTCACCGTTGAACGTAAATTAATGGGTTTTTCCAAAATGCTACTACATCACCATGACGTCATAATTTATTTTATGCGAAGAAATAATTGTGTATTCATTATCTAAAGTTAATTGTACATTTGTACCCCTGGCCTAAGTTTAATATTAAATATTGCAGAAAGATTATTCAATAAATAAAGATATTTCTTTTTATGTTTTGATGGCGGGTGATTAATATTACTAATATTAGCGGCAGATCAGAGAGCCAGAGACTTTAATACTTTTTATAAACTCAGGATTCAAGGGACCATCTATTATTTTATATGAACATCAAGCAACCATTTATTATCCTGGATACCAGCATTTTCTGCCCTAAATACTGAACACAATTTTGAAATAGATCATTGAAAATGAACTAATTTCTGACAAATCTCATGTTTGCCACTATGAATTTTTATTCTCATCACTCAGTCTCATAATTTTATGTAGATTATTGTAGAATGTAGATTGTAGGGAAATGACAAACTTATCCAATCTGGGACTGGGACTCTGAGAGTAATGGAGGAAGGAGGATAGATATATCAGGCATGATTTTTCAAAAAATAATTGCCAAAAACAACTAAATTGAAATTTGATAATTGCAGGAAAAAAGATTTGATTTTTGCAAAACAATTTTGCCTGCAAGTATTACTAATTTTTACAAGATAAGAATTTTTCTAGTGATGTGTGAAATGTTGTGGCTCTAGACTCTAAAAGTGATAATTTTTGATGCATTTGAAATCTTCCTGCCTTAGGCTGCCTGATTGTACAGTTTTATGACCAACAAGTGATTCATCTAGCGGGATTAGGAGAGAGTCATCTAGCAGGAATCTTGCATATCCAAAAATAGCAAATTAGGAAGAAAGCTCTAGTAGTCTCAATGCTCTCAATGAGCATTGAGAGCAGTCTCAATGCTACATAAAAAGTCTCAATGCTACATAAAAAGTCTCAATGCTATCTATAGAAAAATTTCATTTTGTGTCTCTGCTTGAAATTTTAGTTGCCTACTCCACTAAAATACATGATTTTTGGGAAAATTGGAAGAACTCTATGCAGACTTGCATTATAGTTACAGCTAATCTTGAACTACAAAATTTTTTATGAAAGTGCCAAAAAAAAAAAAATCTTAAAAATATAATCTAATTGTTTCTTGAAAACCTACAAACCTCTGCCCTCAATGTCAACTATGGCATTACAATTTAGTCATGGCAGAACCATGCATTAACTTTATTAATAAAAAAATATTATTCCATTTAAAACAAATTAAATTGAATACACGATGAGAGACAAATTTATGAGCATTTAACTTCCAGCCTGTGTACTCAGATGCTAAAGACTGCATTGTGAAGTTTTGGGAACTCACTTCCATAAAAGTCAAGTTTTGCAAAAAGGCCTTTGGCTTAGTATCTAGATATATTTCATTGTTCTAACTTTATTTTCTATAAAGACATTTTTTATCTATTAACCAACAACACAATAAATTCTCTCTCTTAGTCATTCATTGTTTTTTTCTCTGATTCAAATTCCCATTTAATTCATCATATAAATATTTGGAGACAATTTGAAGACTCCTGTCTTGCTCATCAAACTATAAGGCAACTTGAAATGATCATGACATCAAATGTTTGCTGATAAAATGATCTCTTTTGAAAATTTTACATGTTATGGAAACTTTAAGCCTTGTGTCATAGATATTGATTTTAACAGCTGATTTCTTCACTTTGCTCAAATTCTTTATTTCATTTGATTCCTGCTAAAAATTTTCACTTTGCTTGACAATAAAAAATTGTCTTAATCATCCTTCCTTGCATAATCATGTATATTCACTTAAATGTTTACTAAAATTTCTTAGTGGTGAATGCTTATTTTGGCCAACCTATTATTAAAGTCTTGTTTGGAATTCTTAGTAATTACATTCATTCTTACAATTACAAAACAAATACATTCATTTCATCTAAATAATTGTTAAATACACGCATTTCATCTAAATAATTGTTAAATACATGCATTTCATCTAAATAAGTGTCAAATACATTAATTTTAAATAATTTTTTTATGTGTGCAGGAACATCTGTGAAATTCTAGAATGAGCACTACCATCCCTTCTTCCCCCTTGATGGTATCACCTGATGGGGTTACACCTACAACCACCACGCCAGATCCCAGAACAATAACAACAACAATTGCTTCTATAATAAACTCAAATGGCACTGGGAGCTCACTGGGTCCTGAGAACCACGTGACAGATGAAGTTCCCATTCCTGAATTTTTTCTTGAGACAATCGGTGCCAAAGCCATCACAGGAGTGTTTGTGTTTGTGGCAACCTTCTTAACATGTCATCAGGTGAGTCTTGCACCTTGATAGCATATCTCAATATATTTACATATTACCGAACATGTTTTGTTTCATCTTTCACTTGCAAGATTTTCTATTAATTAGTTGATATACAAAATGTTTGGTAAGGATCATGGCTATCTTGTTTGCAGCTCAAACAAAAAAAATGAGCACTCATCTAGCCTATTTGTTTCAATAACTTGTGGGGTTTATTTTTCTTGTTAGAATCTCTTTTGAAGATATAGTTATGCTGGTTAAGTCCATCTGCTTCTAGAACAGTCCATTTTTACAAACTCTAGACAAATATTTATTGAAAAAATAAAATATTTATACAATTTGATAAGACCTAATCATGGCCTTTTACAAGGGAAATGGGATTTGAATTTGGAAAAAAATGGAATGCAAATTACTTGCACTATCAGAGCAAGGTTTTGTATGGTATTACATGTATTGTTTTAGAAAAGTGTTGTGTTATTTTAGTGCATTTGGACATGACTAAGTGATGTTTTCAATATTTGTGACAAGTGTAATCTATTAATTTCTTGCATAGAGAATGGAGATGTTACACTGATACTAACTTGGGCATTATGTTTTTTCTTGTGAGTGGTGCAAAAATATTTGAAAAATCACTGTAAAGTTTGATAAATAACAGGTAAGTTTTAAACTGAAGAAATCTTGGCTAAACTTGGATGAAAATAAGGGATTGGAACATTTGGCGAAAGTAAAAGGGCAGCCATGATTCCTCTATTATCCTATTGCAGGGTTTTGTACTAAAAATATTCTTCATCTTGTCAAAAAAATTGAAGCTTCTTCACTCACTCAAGTTAGAATTTCCAAGCATCAAATATAATATTATGAGTTTCTAAACTTTATTTTTCTCTCCTTCATCAAATAGGGTTCTTCAGACCTGCAGCTTGAAATTTGTTAGCATAAACATGACCTCTATGAGATTCTTCACTTCTTCTATTATTATTTAAATACATTTCTTCACCCAGTCAGCTTCAAATTTCCAAACATTAAACTAGTATGAGACTTCCTCTTTGTCCGAATATAATTACATGATTACCAGTACGACAACAGTCAAGACTATCGCACAATTTCCCCCGTGGTAGCATGGCTGCGCTGAGAGAGGATCCCCGTACTGCGCTATAACGGTCGGCTTCCCGTCGCTTTTCCTGCCGCGCGTTCGTATGTACGCGCTCGTATCGCTGCCATCTCCTTAACTACGTGGGCAACCCGCGGTCATTGTTCACTGAAAACGCCAGATTTCAATTTAATTAGTTATAAATCTATTTTGTCTAAAAAACTTCATGCGCTTTATGACACTCTATAATGTTCCATGCATGGTCTCTTAAAATACATATAGAATCAATGTAAGAGTAACACCTACGTAGGCAACCCGTGGTCATTGTTCTCTGAAAACGCGAGCTTTAAATTTAATTTATTATAAATATATTTTGTCGAAAGACTTCATGCGCTTCATGACGCTCTATAATTTTCAATGGTCTCTTAAAATACATATAGAATCAATGTACGAGTAACGTGGTATTTTATCTTTGAACCACTTAGTTTCTCACCTTATTAAGCACGCATATCCTTTATAAAAGTAAACAGTTATTCAAATTCACAAACATTTTTCGCATAATTTGTTAGCTGCGTTTGCCTACAACAAGCTAGGTGTTGACAAGCTTGTGGTTGCGCGATGCTGAAGGCGCCTTGCAAGCTGCATTTGTAAGCAAGTGGACCGTGACGTTGCGGAACTGTGTGTACCGATGCACGGAGGTCACTGTCAAGCCCAACCTAAATTAGAGCGCAATACAAAACCGAGTCTCAACAAGAGGCGTGACAGAAACGTGGGACATGATTAATGTTTCAGTTGACCTCATTCCTATGTTTAATTATTACATTGCACTCAAGTTAGTTTATAGTTTATTTATTGTATTTAAGTCGGTAATAATATGATTTATTATCTATCATTGGCTATTGTGGCGTCACTGTTCCTCTTAGACATCAATGGAGGCGTACATGTACTTATTACAATGACCTTCTTAAAACTAGATCATGCCTCGCCACGAGCGTTCCAATATCCAGATCTACCAAGGCAGGAAGTCTAGACGCGCCACCCACTTCCATAAATGTGGTTTGCAATAAAATCTGCTCCCACTTGTTTGCCTCTTTCTAGCACTTACGTGTTGTGTCGACTTGAACAATGACGTTCTCTTATTTTTGCTAAATCATTGTGCATCACGAGGCGCTTTTACTTTTCTCGGTGAACGCATCTGGTGATCAGCGCCTTTTTTACACTTTCATCTGGTTTCAGATAATTGTTCCAAAGAATTATTATCTAAATGGGAATCTATTGGGAATGGTAATCGCACTTGTGCGCGTCTTGCATTGATCTGAGAAGCGTCTAAGTCGACACAGACAACCGTGAACTGAACTATTCCTTTGATATGTTCCACCACATCCATTTGCTTAATTAAATTAAACATCATCTTGTGAAAAATTTTAGTTTCTGTATGTCTGATCTTTTTATTAGATAATTAATTCGTTTATTGAAGATCGCTTTGAAAGATTCAACTGCACAGTCAAGTCGTCATCTGGCCTTATAAAAAAATCTTGATTCTCGAAAATATATAAAATTTATATTTCAGGCACTGGCAGATTTTTCCAGAATGTGTGTTTACGCTTTACGGTGGTTTAACTGACTGAGTGAACTCGAAGCTCCTGAACTTTCTTTTTATTGAAATCTGACTCCTGTAATTTTTCTTACCAAAATTTGAATACTTATATTTGCGTAAGACACTGACTTACTGGAGATCAAGCATAACACAAACTTGGTGCCATGGGTGCCTGTGGGTCATGGGTGGTGCCATGGTGGTGGCACCAGTGCCACGAGTGCCTCAGTGTCACGGGTCGAATGCTATGACGTCAACGATGATCAGATTAGCGCGCAACTCCCTTGTGTTGAACTGAGGCTTGATGCTACCTCCCCACCACTGGTCGACGAAAACTGATCAATGTGAAGTTAATACATAGTTACGGTAGTTGATTAAAAGATAGTTAATCATCTCCAAAACTTAATGTTAGTTTTCTTGTCAATTTTTCAGTTCATGTGAAAACGTGTGCATAGATGCAGGATATTGGTCATACAGACTGCACGCCATAAATGTTTCTCGTATACATTTAGCTGTATCCTAGATGTTGCAACGAGTTTGTTGTAAGTACTGTAATCTTGACGATACATGTTCAGTTTTAGCTTTTTATTTGTGAAAGTAAATGTTGAGCATATCGTTTCATCTTCGCTGTGAGCGTCGTATTTTCGTTTAGGGCAGAAACTTAGGACGATTTTGAGTTCAACAAGTTCTTTGCTTGAGTGATGTTTGATTTTAAAAATATATTCTGTACCGCATGCGCTGCATGCGGTACAGAATTGCATTCAGCCACGATTTGTGATGGTAATGAGTAAGGGGCGTTTGATTAACCTTATAATTTTATCTATCGATAATAACGCTCTGATAGCCGAGAGCTTTTTGTGATTAATGCTGGTCCATATCACCATGTTGTGCGCGATAACGTTCGAGTTATATGATTGGAAATGAAGGCTGTTTTATCGGTGGCTCTGCTCTTGTGGTTCTTGTGCTTATGGCCTCCGAAGAATCGGCCATGTTTCTGCATCGTTTGAATGAACAATGTACGTTCTGAAGCACAGACACGGTTTCTTCACTGGGCAATGAGATCAAACTAACACCTTTTAAGTGCTCGAGAAAGCACGTTTTGTCCACCTCTTGATCATAAAAAATAAATCATGTATTTTATCAGAAATTTACAGCATACAATCATCGTTTTGCAATAGATAATTAAGATAATAGATAAATTCACTCTAAGAGGTTGCACATGTGCAGCTTAAGAAGCTTTCGAGTTGAAAAAAAAAAATTAAAAACCTGTGTTATGACTTGTCAGCCCAATTATCTTGGAGCGAAGCAGTTGTGTGTCAATCAAATTTGATTGATAACGAGGAGTTATTGATGTACGTTGATCGGGCTACGGATTGAATGTCCTTCGTTACTGCCCTGTTTTACTCTCCTCGGTCGAGGAATCGGCTTCATATGTCAACGATATTTTTCTTTAATTGGCAAGCTTTGACATTACTGAAATTCATTGACAAAATTTCCATAATCATGATCATTGTTTGGAATATGTTTCAATAATCACAAGCTAGATAGTCATCATCGCGTATGTTTAGAAGTCAACATTATTTGTTTGCCACTGAATTTTCGAGGAAATGTACCTTCCGCTCCTCAATACTTGAAGAATCTAGATCCAGGATATAAAGTAGACACATGCAAAATAATCTATTAATTTCTCTTGCGATATGCAGGTTTCCAGAGTTGTCTTAGTGCTCAGTGAATTCATCCGGTGCATCCCTATATACATTATTCTCAGTAACGATATCTATATTTATGCTCATTCGACGTCGTAATATTCCGCAATCGTAGTCTTATGCTTGGCAGCTTCCAGGTCAGTGCTCGTGGTGAAGCGGAGAAAGTTCGTTACTGTGCCCGATTGTGCTGAAGCTTTAATTACTGCATGACTGTGCATTTTAATCATGCTAAACGTGTATGAGTAGTACACGTTTAGCCTTAAAAATGTTAATTTTACATGCATTGTCAAATTTACCTATGTACTATGTTGGTTGAAAATCTTTACTAAGAACATTTCGTACGACGGCGGCTCACGGCGTAGCAAGAAGCAATCAATTTTCATCGTAAAAAATATCTCTTTAATGAACTAAAGTTGTGGACCTAGTTATGCAAATGATGTGAATAGAGCTAACGTATAAAATCTCATTCGTCACATTACCCGAGCTGAAACAGTATATGATTCATGGAAATATTTATTTTCGTAGCTAGGTCTGTATAAAGTTTATATCACGAGGCAAATTATATAATTTTCTGGAGAGACTGTGCGTCCCAGGTTATCTGTTAAGCGGAAGCAGCAGCAGCTAC